CTCAAGCAATCCTCCTACCTCAGCCTCTGAAAGTGCTGGGATTACAGACATGAGCCACTGCACCTGGCCATACTACCAATTTTTCACAAACCAGCACTTTGGGAGGCTAGGTAGGAGGATCCCTTGAGGCCAGGAGTTTCAGACCAGCCTGGTCAACGTAGCAAGACCCCATCTCTAACTGAAAAAAGAAAGAGGCCAGGCATGGTGGCTTATACCTGTAATCCTAGCACCTTGGGAGGCCAAGGCAAGAGAGAGAAAAAAAAAAAATTAGCCAGGCATGGTGGCACCCACCTGTAGTCCTAGCTACTCAGGAGGCTGAGGTGGGGGGATCATTTGAGCCTAGAAGTTGGAGGTTACAGTGAGCTATGATTGCACCACTCCAGCCTAAGTGACAAAGTGAGACCCTGTCTCAAAAAAGACGATAAAAAGTATGAGTAAGTTTAACAAGAGAAATGCAAGATTTGTACAATGAAAACCACAAAACACAGCTTGGCACAGTGGCTCATGCCTGTAATCCTATCACTTTGGGAGGCCAAGGTGGGAGGACTGCTTGAGACCAAGAGTTTGACACCAGCCTGGGCAACATAGTGGGACCCTGTCTCTAACTTAAAAAACAAAATAAGGCCAGGCGAGGTGGTTCACGCCTGTAATCCCAGCACTTTGGCAGGCCAGGGTGGGTGGATCTAACCCCATTAGAGACGGGGTTTCACCTTGTTGCCCATGAGTTTGAGACCAGCCTGGGAAACACGGTGAAATCCCGTGTCTAAAAAAATAAAATAATAAAATAAAAATACAAAATAAAAAACAAAGTAAATCTATAAAAAATACAGTTGAAAGACATTAAGAAGCTCTAAATAAATGTTGACATTCGATGTCCATGGATTGGAATATGATATTGTTAAGATGGCAATACTCCCTGATCTACAGATTCAAGGGAATTCCCATGAAAATCCTAGATGGAAATTGACAAGCTGACCCTAAAATTCAGGTGGCAATGCAAGGGACCCCGTATATCCAAAGCAATCTTGAAAAAAGAGAACGAAATTGGAGGATTCATACTTCCCAGTTTCAAAACTTATTACAAAGCTAAAATTATCAAGCCTTTTGATACTGGCATAAGGACAGACATATAGAACCATGAAATAACATTGAAAGTCCAGAAATAAACCAATATATTTAAGGTCCAGTGAGTTTTGGCAAGGGTGCCAAGAGGACTGAATGAGGGAAATAATATTTTTTCCAACAAATGGTGCTGTGACAACTGTGCGTGAAAAAGAACAAAATTGGACCTCTACCTCATACCATATACAAAAGTATCTCATAATGAATCAAATAGCTAAAAACAACAAAATTCTTAGAAGAAAGCACAGGTGTAAATCTTTATGATGCTGTATTAGGCAATGGTTTGTTAGATATGACACCAACAGCACAAACAAGATAAACTGGACTTTATCAAAATTTAAAACTTTTGAACTTCAGGCTGGGCGTGGTGGCTCACGCCTGTAATCCCAGCTCTCTGGGAGGCTGAGGCAGGTGGATCACGTGGTCAGGAGATGGAGACCATCCTGGCTAACATGGTGAAACCCCGTCTCTACTGAAAATACAAAAATTAGCCAGGCGTGGTGGCGTGTGCCCGTAGTCCCAGCAACTCAGGAGGCTGAGGCAGGAGAATGGCGTGAACTCAGGAGGCGGAGCTTGCAGTGAACTGAGATTGCGCCACTGCACTCTAGCCTGGGTGACAGAGCAAGACTCTGTCTCAAAAAAAAAAAAAAACACACACACACACACTTTTGAGCTTCAAAAGACACTATTAGAAAGTGAAAAGACAACTAACCTGCAGAATGAGATAAAATATTTGCAAATCATATATCTGATAAGCATCTAGAATCTAGAATATATAAAGAATTCTTACAACTCAACAATAAAAAGACCAGGCACAGTGGCTCAAGCATGTAATCCCAACACTTTGGGAGGCCAAGGTGGGAGGATCATTTGAGCCCAGGAGTTCAAGGCCAGCCTGACCTAGTCTCTACAGAATTTTTTTTTTTTTTTTGAGTCAGAGTCTTGCTCTGTCACCCAGGCTGGAGTACAATGGCATGATCTCAGCTCACTGCAACCTCCGCCTCCTGGGTTCAAGCAATTCTCCTGCCTCAGCCTCCTGAGTAGCTGGGATTACAGGTGCCCACCACCATGCCCAGCTAATTTTTGTATTTTTAGTAGAGACAGGTTTCGCCATGTTGGCCAGGCTGGTCTTGAACTCCTGACCTCATGATCCTCCCGCCTCGGCCTCCCAAAGTGCTGGGATTACAGGCGTGAGCCACCGCACCTGACACGGAAAAATTTTAAAAATCATCTGGACATGGTGGCATGTACCTGTAGTCCCGGCTACTTGGGATGCTGAGTTGGAAGGATTGCTTGAATCTGGGAGGTCGAGGATGCAGTAAGCAATGATAATGCCACTGCACTCCAACCTGGGCAACAGAGGGAGACTCTGTCAAAAAAAAAAAAAAAGGCCAGGGGTGGTGGCTTACGCCTGTAATCCCAGCACTTTGGGAGGCCAAGGCGGGCAGATCACAAGGTCAAGAGATTGAGACCATCCTGGCCAACATGGTGAAACCCCGTCTCTACTAAAAATACAAAAATTTGCTGGGCGTGGTGGCGTGCGCCTCTAGTTCCAGCTACTTGGGAGACTGAGGCAGGCAGGGGAATCGCTTGAACCCAGGAGGTGGAGGTTGCAGTGAGCTGAGATCGTGCCACTGCACTCCAGTTGATGACAGATCAAGACTCCGTCTGAAAAAACGAAAACAAACCAACAAAAAACCCCACCAATTTAGACTACCTGGAACATAGTAAAATCTATAAATATTAGCTATTGCATGTATACAGTAATAGCCAATTGTTCCAGCATGATTTGTAGAATCCTTTTCCCTCTGATTTTTAAAAATGTATTCGTTTTATTTATTTATTTTTTTTTGAGACGGAGTTTCCCTCTTGTCGCCCAGGCTGGAGTGCAATGGCGCGATCTCGGCTCACTGCAACCTCCGCTTTCCGGGTTCAAATGATTCTCTTGCCTCAGCCTCCTGAGTAGCTGGGATTACAGGCGTGAGCCACTGCGCCTGGCCAACATACAAATTTTTCCTTTTTTTTTTTTTTTTTTTTTTGAGACAGAGTCTTGCTCTGTTGCCCAGGCTGGAGTGCAGTGGCTGGATCTCAGATCACTGCAAGCTCCGCCCCCCGGGTTTATGCCATTCTCCTGCCTCAGCCTCCCGAGTAGCTGGGACTACAGGCGCCCGCCACCTTGCCCGGCTAGTCTTTTGTATTTTTTAATAGAGACGGGGTTTCACCATGTTAGCCAGGATGGTCTC